TTCATTTAATGTTAGACATAGACACCTATATAAATATACATTGTAAATAAACTGGCTTTAAAAAAAAAAAATAATTCAATTGAGTTTCTTGCCAGTTCTTCTCAATTGGATCTATATACCGAACTGGACGGTAGGGAAAAAAATAAAATTATAATGTAAAAATTTGACGTTCATAAGCGGCTAAAATGTCCTACATGAATAAATGATTTTTGAATTTTTTGAATTTTGAATTTTTCATCATAGTAGGCTAACTGACTTGACTTCATGCTCATTTTCATCCTCCACTGGTGCTGCCAGCGTAAACTGTTAGCGTAGGCGGGTGCACAATTTCATTATCACCCTTAAAAACATTCAGTCATGCTTCCTTAATTCAAATAGTGTTGACAATTTTTTTTTTCGGACTACTCTAATGCTTTTGGCCGCAGCTGGCCTTTACAGCTTCACCGGACGTTAGGGGGCGAGTGCAGATGGCACTCCAAACCAAGGAAGGACTTATGGAGCGGCTAAAGGCCAACTCCTGCTTGACGGATAGGACTTTAGTCTGAGGGCACCACTAGGGGTTCGAACCTCGGCTCAGGCAGGTCGGCAGGTCGTAATTTCGATTCTCGTTTGAATTGGACGGGAGATCGATCGAAGGGGTTTTGAGCCTCGGTGGTCTAGCTGTTTAGCACAAGGTCTTACTTCGCAATGGTCGCGGGTGCGATTCCTCGCACGGTACAAATATTTGTTATTCACGAGTATGATTGTTCGTATCGATCGGATGTTTTCGATATATTCTGGGTATTTTACAAAAAAATTATATTTGTATCAGTTGTCTGCTACCCATAACACAAGGCCTGTTTAGCTTGGGACTAGATGGAGCTGTGGTGATTGTCCTAAGATATTACCTATTTCAGTAGATAAACACAAGATAATACATACTGTATTGTCTTGTACAGTTCACATGTCCTGACTTTTTTTTATCGTAAACCGAGTAGATTATAATGATATGCGAAACGGATAGACAGTATCATTAATATGTATTGACTAGCTGTACTCACGACTTCGTCCGCGTTCAATTAATATTTTTCTAAAATAAAAGTAGCCTAAGTTACTCCTTCCATACCTTACATCAGCTGCCTGCCAAAAAAAGTTCCGTCAAAATAGGTCCAGATATATCAGAGATTAGTCGGAACAAGCAGGTCTGTCTGCTTTTTCTGGCAAGACAAAAATCAAGTCACAAAGTCAGACAAAAATGGTAAAAAATGTTATTTTGGTGTATGTACCGTATTTATATTCATATGCATGTAGCAAAAAACAGTTATTTCAATATTACAAATAGGCACTCCAATTTTATTTATATGTATAGAATCGCAGCCTCTTATCTTAATAACTGCAAAAATCCTGTAATACTTTAGGCCTTATAACTTATTATTTTTAAGTAACGGTATTAATATTATCTTGATATTTCTATTCAGTGTTCATTTTAAAATTAAACAAATTTCTTTTATTTATCTATTTACATCAGGTGACGGTTAGTTTCGTCCTCTGTATATTTAAAAATGTATACATAATTTAATAATATTAAATACCCAGACCGTAATCAATCGAAGACATCAATCAGACTGCAATCAAACACACCTATACAAATATTTGTATTATACAAGTGTTGAACCCGTGACTATCAGAAGTAAACCAGTGTACTAAAACGCACACCACCGACGTTAACCTATAATACCCCAAACCAATATTTGTATCTGACGGAATCGAAATCATGACCATCGGAATGACTGATAAACCGCTACACTACGAAGGTCATTTAAAAAAAGTCGTAAATGATAACATCAAAAACAGCGATATTTATTAACCCGTCAAATGCGATTTGCGAATGAGTATCAGTATGGCAGAAGCGTATCACTGATACGGCAGATTACGGTCTGATAGAAACACCTGTATGATAATGATAAGTACTAAATACTGATCACACAGTCAGTACCGACTAACATACAAAATGGTCAAGATCCGACGAATTCAATCGAAGAAAACAGTTAGTTATTTCCAATTATTATCGTGCCAAACTTTTGTGGATATATGTATTGTGGTCCATATTTAAAAATACCGTATAACGCATAAAGAACAAATGTAGAAAATTTAACATAATCCTAAAGATTAACAAAATGGATTATCCTGATTAACTATATAATATAGTTTCACAAGTGAGCATGAAGAGTGATAATGAAATCAGCATGTCTAGTGTAACAGTAACAATTCCTTATTTATCATAAAATTATTCGTGTTAAAACTAACATAACTATTAATTTTGTGTACTAAATGCGAAGGTTATAATATGAGACAATAAAACTCAACAAAATGAATTATCCTGAAACCTAACCTGAACTTAAATAATTTGATAAGTGATAATTGAGTCAGCATAAAAAGTGATAATGAAATCAGCATGCCTAGTGAAATACAGTAAAAATTCCCTGTTTACCATAAAATTATTCGTGTTAAAACCCAATTAACTGTAATATTAATGCATACTAAACTTTATAACAAACAATACTTTTATTGTCATTATTATAATGAGTTAAATTAAATCGCCATCACCATCATCGCAGCCCGGAAGACGTACACTGCTGGACATGGGCCTCCCCCAAAGATCTCTTAAATTAAATAATTATTAAAAAAGCGTTAATTATGTGAACATAAATAGTGATAATTAAATCAGCTTGCCAAGTGAAATACACTAAGAATTTATTAATAGTTTTATTGTCTACATTATAATGTGTTAGAACAAATTAATAATTAAAATAGTGATAATTAAATAAACATAAATAATGATAAAGATAGTGATAATTAAATCAGCATGCCAAGTGAAATACACTAAGAATTTATTAATAGTTTTATTGTCTACATTATAATGTGTTAGAACAAATTAATAATTAAAATAGTGATAATTAAGTAAACATAAATAATGATAAAGATAGTGATAATCAAATCAGCATGCCAAGTGAAATACACTAAGAATTTATTAATAGTTTTATTGTCAGCGTTAGAATGAATTAGAACAAATTAGTAATTAAAATAGTGATAATTAAGCAAGCATAAATAATGATAAAGAGAGTGATAATTAAATCAGCATGCCCAGTGAAATACACTAAGAATTTATTAATAGTTTTATTGTCTACATTATAATGTGTTACAACAAATTAATAATTAAAATAGTGATAATTAAATAAACATAAATAATGATAAAGATAGTGATAATTAAATCAGCATGCCCAGTGAAATACACTAAGAATTTATTAATAGTTTTATTATCAGCGTTATAATGAATTAGAACAAATTAATAATTAAAATAGTAGATAATTAAGTAAACATAAATAATGATAATAGATAAATAATTAAATCAGCATGCCAAGTGAAATATACTAATTTATATTCTTTATTCAAATAAACTTAATATAATCACTTTTGAATAATCACATTTTTTTGATTCTACCACTCATTCAGTATGCAGACTCATCACCAGAAGAATGAACTAGAAACTTGTGTTATAGTGATATATTATAATATGTTAGAGCAAATTAATAATTAAAATAGTGTTAATTAAGTCAACTTAAATAGTGATAAATAAATCAAAATACTTAGTGAAATATACGAATAATTATTTATTATTATTATTATTGGCATCATTATAAAGTGTTAGAGCAAAATAATAAGTTAAAAAGTGATATTTAAGTCAGCATAAAAAGTGTAAACAAAATAGCACGTCTGGTGAAACAAATTCACCTTTTTTATGGATGATAATGGAATAGCAATGCAATTAATAATACAAGGAAAAACCCAGCGTTGCCTAAGACGAAGGCAGGCGGTACTTCGTGGTTAAAAAACTTAATACCGTGTTTTGAGTTGAGCACCAGGTCCCTTTACAGGACCGCTGCGGACAAAGTAAAGATCTCCAACCATTGGTAGGAGATGGTATCTAAAGAAGAAGAAGAATGGTTTAAACGCCTGCGCTAACGGCTTATGCTGGCAAAGCTCCAGTAGAGGAATATCAGATGAGAATAAACTGAGACTAGTCAGGCCATCGTGGCAAATTCACCAATAAATAACGATGCTTCCAGGGAGGACCGTGTCGAGGTCTACCTAATAGGGTTCATTGGAGGGGGAAGAGAATTGTTAGTAATGTGGGCTGATGATCCCATTGCTAGCAATGTACCATGTCAGGTTACCCTCCACGTGGTTCCCTGGAAACCATCGTGATAAATTCCCGTAGAATTATCACGATGGGCCAACTGACCTGACTTCATGTTCATCTTATCATCCTCCACTGGTGCCCCGCCAGCGTAACCCGTTAGCGCAGGCGGGTGCATCATTACATTAGCATCCACTAAAAAAAAATAGGGTTCATTGCTACAAAAGATGCCACTAGTTCTCCATACTAGCTATAACTGCCCCCACCTCTTTAACGTGGAGCAAATAACGAGCACTTTTATAGTTATCATTATTAAAGTTACTTTAATTTTTAGAAAAACGCAATCTCAGTATTGTTTTATTCATTGATAAAGTACTACTTGCTTTAGTACCAAGTCATCATCTGCTTCTGCCTTATCCCATTTACTCGTATTTGTGGTCGTCGTAATATGTTTTTCGCTTCCATTCATCCCTGTTCGCAGTCATCGCGTTATTTACTTCCTTTCTTACCATATCATCTTTCACACAGTCCATCCATCTCTTTTTCGGACTTCCTCTGCCCTTATAACCATCCACATTCATATGTAACACCTTCCTTAAAATATTATCCTCATTCCTACGCATTACATGTCCATACCACGATAGAAGATTACTCTTCAACCTCTCCGACACCGGCGCCACTTTCATACTTCCTCTAAAGTATTCATTCTTTAGTACCAAGTACTAGTACTTTATTACTTTATCTATGAATAAATTATTTATCTATCTAATGGGTCACTACGCCCTACATCTAGTGGTTTTTTATTAATACGTCAATATTCCAGGTAGACTTGGTGGATACATCACTGGTGATGGACACCAGCGGCGGGGGTGACGGCGGGGGCGGAGGGGGAGGCTCGGACGACCGCAGCCCCCCGCCCACGGCACACAACAGGGACTCCTCGCCACCACTAGGTAATTATTTTTTAATTTTATTGACAGGTTTGCGCTATCACTATACAGTGGACCCGCGGTAATCCGGCCCCCCTTGTAATCCGACATTGTCTATTATTTGTTATTGAATATTACTTTGACAATATACTTCAGAGTGCATATACATACATACATATATAACATAGAATCTTATCACTGGATCTGTAATTTGTCGGATTACAAGATACTCTTTTGTAAAAAATTCCGGACTATAAGCACCCTTAAGCAGCACTCTATAATCCGACAAATACGATGGTCCGACACTGCCCTGCAAAACGTCTGTCGGATAACCGGGGGTCCACTGTATATGTATATAATATAAAGAATCATCACTGGATCTATAATTTGTCGGATTACAAGGTATTCTTTTGTAAAAAAAATCGGACTATAAGGGGTCTTAGGCAGTACTCTATAATCCGACAAATTCGATAGTCCGACACTGCCCTGCAAAATGATTGTCGGACTACCGGGGGTCCACTGTATTATATACGGTTTTAAATTTTACGTATATATGTACAAGGTTTTATATTATATGTACAATTAGAAATCATAGGATCTTAGCAAGTTTTATTTATTTTTATTAAGTTACGAGTATTTCGATAGTGTTTCAACCACCATGATCATACTAGCAAGACGTGTAGGGATGTTATGGATATGAAATTTCGAATACGGATAGGTTTCGGATATAGGAATGATCATTATACCGGATACGTATGCGGATATGAAATTGTTTCGGATTATCCGCTAGCTACGGATAATTTCGGTTACGGATATTATTTTTTAAGGAATTTAAAAGTAAAAGACAAATCTATATTAATAATTTCGTCAAGGGGTACAGTAGACTCGAACTAAACATTATGTGAATAACAAAACATAAAAAAATACTGATTTCGAGTCGACAACATATATCCGCAAAATTCGGATTATGGAGTATTTCGATAAATTCTAATGACACTGACAAACAAACCGCAGTCGCCATCTTTTCATTTCACTAGCATTTTCTTCTGTCATTGACGTTTCACGAAAATATTGGATTTGACACTTTTTTATGATAAAAGAGTATGTGTTTTTTCTTTAAACCTGAAATTGGCCGATTGCGAGACAAATTTGGCGATTTTTTTTTATTAATTTGTTATACGTCTCTGGATACAAGTTATTTTTAGCCCAACTGAAAGTTTTACAAAAAATAAAAATTATTTGCATAAAAACTTTTGTACATTTTATTTACTATATTTCTAATAATAATAATAATAATAATATCAGGACAATTCACACAGCGCCATCTAGACCCAAGTTAAGCTAACTAAAGCTTGTGTTATGGGTACTAGACAACTGATACAAATACATAGATATTTTTTTTTCGTAAATACATACATATTATACATAGAAAATACCCAGACCCACACAAACAATTATACTCATGAATACAAATGTTTGTGCCGTGCGAGGAATCGAACCCGCGACCATCGGACGTAAAGCGGTGTGCTAAACCACTAGACCACCGAGGTCGTCAAAAATTTCAAATTTCTTAAACACAGTGAACGAAGCTTTACAAATCTATGCCTTGCTTACTTTTAATATTCCATGAGAACCAATGACTACAGATATATCTACCCACATTTCACCCGAGCGAAGCCGGGTTTTCATCTAGTAATTAATAAAATGGTTACATAATGTGTATCAATTAGGCTGCGCCCCTATCCGATATTATCCGACACATTTATTTCGGATTCGGTTACGGATACGGTTATTTTTTCATATCGGATATCCGATAGTTACGGTTAAGGAGCTCCCTAACATCACTAGTGTGAAGGTGGGATCCGTTAGCGCTAACGGTAGGGCTCTAGTAGGGAGTCCTCCTCCCATGGTAAGACGATAACGGCCCTAAACGACAGGAGCGGATCGTGGATTTGTGGAGCCCTGGGCTAAATCTACTTAGTGGGGCTCTCTAATTATATTAATCAAAAAAAAAATACACCGACCAAAAACAAGCGACCAGAATTTCCCCGATCCATTTGATAGACGCGCACTTGCATGGGTTGATTGATCTCAGTGTTGCCAACCTTATAATATGTTTTTTAATATTCTAGATATTTTTTTATACTCTAAATATCGTTTCAGTGGGGACTGGAGGTCCTTTGTAATTTCGGGGCCCCGGGCTGCAGCCCATAGGTAGATCCGCCCCTGCTAAACGGAGATAAACCGGCACAATAGTCCCTCAGTACCAGAGTGAATAGTTTATTGTACGCACGTCCGGTACTCAGAAACAACTATATCATTATTGAAGTGCCTTTATCCCATTACTAGCTGACCCGCGCCCGACCTGACCCCATCTTTTGCTTTATTTTTCATTCAGCTCCGCTCCTATTGGTCGTAGCGTAATGTTATATAGCTCCTGAGATTCAAACAAGTGGCGCCGGTGTCAGAAAGGTTAAAGAGTAATCGTCTATCGTGGTATGGGAATTTAATGCGTAGGAATGAAGATCATATCCTAAGGATGTTGTTACATATGAATGTGGATGGTTATAAGGGTAGAGGAAGACCGAAAAAGACATGGATGGACTGTGTGAAAGATGATATGCTAAGAAAGGGAGTAAATAACGAGATGACTGCGAGCAGAGATGAATGGAAGAGAAAAACATATTATATTACGGCAACCACAAATAAAAGGGATAAGAAACGAATACCCATAGCCCAGGGCCCCACAAATTCACGATCCGCCCCTGTGGAAATACGAACATTATTATGGACAGTACAATCGTAGAACCGTTTTGTATACATGGTCAGAAATATATTGTGACTATAACGTATTGTGTACTGTACCATGTCAGGTTGACTTCCACGCGGTTCCCCCTACAAACCATCGTGATAAATTTTTGGTGAATTTGTCACGATGGGCTAACTGACCTGACCTCATGCTCATCTTATCATCCTCCACTGTAATCCCGTCAGCGTAAACCGTTAGCGCAGGCGTTCCACCATTCCATTATCATCCTTAAAAAAACGTATTGTTAGTATAGGTTATTACTTATTACTTACTAAAACAAATAATTCATTTGTTAACGTGCGTAAGTAAGATAATTAATTAAATGATTGTATTTTATTTTAGAATAAACTGATAAAAATCAAACAATAAAAATAGATGGCCATGTTTATCGGATTAGCACACCGATTTCCTGCCAATGATCGCAGGGTCGATTCCTCGCACGGTATAAATTGTATCTTGGTGACCACCAAGTACCTATATTTATTATATTTTAATATAAAAGATACACACGCATACATATGCAAGTTTTTAACAACTTATATACCTGGTATCTAAATATATATACCTCAAAGGTGACTGACTGACGTAGTGTTCTATCAACGCACAGCCCAAACCACTGGACGGATCGGGCTGAAATTTGGCATACAGGTAGATATTATGACGTAGGCATCCGCTAAAAAAGGATTTTGATTAATTCTACCTCTAAGGGGATAAAATAGGGGATGAAAGTTTGTATGAAACTTTGTTAATTTTAAACCGATCGGGCTGAGACTTTGCATGCATAAAGCTACTATAACGTAGGCATCCCCTAAGAAAGGATTTTGATAAATTCCACCACTAAGGGGATGAAAGTTTGTATTAAATCTTCTTAGATTTTAGACTATTTGAACTGAAATTAAAGATTGGAGCTACTATGATGAAGGCGCTCGCTTAAATAGGATTTTGATAAATTCAGCCCCTATGAGAGACGAACAAAATAATTTTTAGTTCTTTCTGCTACTGTTATTTTAGAAAAATAAAGTTAAATTCCACGCGCACAAAGTCGCGGGAACAGCTAGTTCATTTATATGTATCATAGTATTAATATTGTTTACATATTTATTTATTTGTATAATGTTATCAGAGTCCTGTAGATAGTATAGAACAATCAAACGTTGTATTAAACTTCAGTTGTCTTCCAACTTGAATTGTAACCAGTAATGTTTTATATTTCCGTTAGTTATTAACAAATTAGTTTTTTAAATACCAAGTTTGTATCTCGCAACGTAACGTGATATATTCTATAAAATCATTTATTCATTTTAGTCGCTTATGAACGTTACATTTTTTGTGTTATATTTTTTTCGCTACCCTATTGTATTAACGATCATCCCTTTCCCCCTTGTCCTTCATGTGGTAACTTATGTGCATAACGGTTTCTTACTTCATGATGAGAAGTGTTAAGATCAGAGAAGAGGGGGTATGTTGTGGTAGACCACCACGCTCTGTGGCCAGAGGAGATCGAGGAAGGGTGCGAAATCGCTGAAGTAGCAATACCTGGTACTTATCATTGCATTCTTTATTTATTAAACGGCCACAGTTGTCTAGCGGTTTAGCAGACCGCTTTACTTCCAATGGTCGCGGGTTCGATTCCTCGCACGGGACAAACATTTGTATTCATGAGTATGATCGTTTGTATCGGTCTGGGTATTTTCGTTGTATATTATGTATGTAATTACAAAGGCCGAAAAGAGATGGATGGACTGTGTGAAAGATGATATGTTAAGAAAGGGAATGAATAACGAGATGACTGCGAACAGAGATGAATGGAAGAGAAAAACATATTACGACGACCACAAATAAATGGGATAAAGAAGAAGCTGATGATGATGAGAGAACGTTTTTGGATTTAGTAAAAAATTTTTTTTATTTTTTGTTTTCAGTAACGAATGGGTCTGCGCGGTACCGAGACGAGCGTCCGACGCTCCCCACCGACCTGTCGGACACCAGCGACAGCGAGCCGGACAAGCCCCACACGTATGTTTGTTTGTATTTGTTTCTAATACTTTATTGTTAGAGAAATCATACAAATATTATAAATGTTAATATTAGGGATGCTTGTTACGCTTTCACACAAAAACTACTGAACGGATTTTAATGAAACTTTACTATAAATATATTTATATTGGCTATGGATTTCACGCGGATGAAACCACGGGCACAGCTAGTGCAATTATTTATTTATTTATGTCATACTAAGTGAGCTTTACAGTCTCCCAATATGAACACTTAGGAAGATAATATACTAATACACACAATTATAAACACTAATTACATACATATACACTAATTACACAAGAAAACAAAAGGGAACAAAATAATAATAAT